TTGATCTCCTCCCCATCTTTCAGGCATCTCTTTTAAGGTTTGGGTTCACTGACTGTGACTAGGAATATGGCACTTGACATCCTCCCCACCTTCCAGGCTTCTCTAATAATCTTTGAGGCCACTTATCACATTGATGCACCGTTGGAGAGGTGTGAGAGGAGTTGGTCCAAGAACTAATTTCCAAGTGGAAATCTATATTTGCATATTAGAAAGTCCAGAATTTAGAAGCTTCCAGACACCTCAAGAACATAGCTAAGTATATGTGCAGGCACCTTTGTGTGTATTCACTAAGCACTTTACATTGCCATACAGGTAAGCGTTTGATTTGTTTCCAAATAATCTGGAACTTAAAATCAAACATCAATTCTGTCATCTTTACATAAAGTAGATCGGCACCTCCCCTATGCTCATCCCTATATAGATATATCTTTATACAGATTTAATTCACATGGAATTTTGTAGACTCCTAATAATGTATGTATATTAAACATAAATATACAAGATATTTATCCTCTGGCAGCAGTTCTTTCCTTGAAGATTTATCCTAAGTAAATGGCCAATGTACAAATAAAACAAAACCTCTCCATTCTTCTGTAAATGGCAAATGCACAAATATAACAAAACCTCTTCAGTCATCAACAATTATGTCGGATGTCAGCAGATCATATGAAATCCTGAAACTAGCAGATATTGCTGATAATTTAACAGTTTTTTAGTCAACAGAACAGCTTGATCTCTTGTTTTTGTTATTATCTACACAAGAACTCTAAAGTCATGTCAGCACTGGACTCATGTTAAAAAAAAGCAGTTCTAACACATTTAGCATTAGCCACATTTGTGCATATAACCATATCTTTCAATCTCAGTAGACATAATTATATTTACATACATGCAAGTATTGCTAAAGTAGATAGGCCGCAGTGCATTTTGCTGTTTAGTAGACCAGAACCAACATATTCTTATGTCAGCATACAAATATAATTTTGATTTAATATGACTTCTGGCAGATATTAGTGTTTACAGACTCCCAGTTCAGGTCTCAGAAGTGCCCTGTTACCAGGAATTAATTAAATCTATCTACATATAGATTGAGATACTAAACTACCTGTTGCTTGACCCTCACCTCTACAGTCTTACCAGTAGTTGTTAGTGCTGGATAAAATTTTTAAGGGGCTAACCGCTGACTTCCCTTTATTTACATTATAGATAAATGCTGACAACCCTTGTACGAGCGTGGAAATAATTATTTGTGTTAATATGGCTTGCACCAGTCATACACTCGATCATCATCCTCAGTTTGCTTGCTATGCACATTCTGCTTTGTGGGACGAGATCCCCCCCATAGATTTTTGGTATACTTACAGACAGGGAGACACAAAACAGATCTTTTACAATATAATACCAGATCACAAACCTAGGGGTAAAGAGAATATTTAAGAGCAACACCCCTGACCCCAAATAGAGCAATCTGTTTTTCTTTAACCATTTTGCTGCCAAGGCCTTTTAATGCGTTTTTTGCACACGTAACATTTCACATTTTAGGCCTGCAAATTACTTAAAACCCCCCCAAACATTATATATTTTCTGAAACCAAAGACCCTGTACAATAAAACGGTGGCAGCTGCAATTTTTTATGTCTCACGATAGTAGCGCAACTCTTTATCAAACCCAAATGTTTTGCAAAAAATGCACTTATGTTTAGTGTAGTGCCCAAAAACACAATATAATACACATTTTTCTAAAACGCATGCAGAGGCGAGGGAACTTTTGATTTTTGATTTTTAAATTTTTTACTTAATTGCGATCACATAAGGGTGTTTACAAGCCCCCTATGTGATGGCATACTAGTAGTGACAGGTCATTTAGACCCCTAATGTCACCTTTGCACTACAAATAAGCTATTGGATCGCAGATTCTGGAGCCAAGAAATGACAGCTGAGGGACCAGAAGTGATGCATTCAGTGTTGCTTTCATTGCCATAGAGCAGAGGGGAGATCTGTGAACAGATGTTCGTCGGTCTCCTTCCCCGCTTCCTGATGACACACGTCGGTGGCAGCAAAAGAGTTAAAAGTGTATGTGTAGCCAAAACTCTTTTTTATAGTTTTGGGTAGAGTACAGGAGGATTAAAACTCCCACTGGATTATATTTTGCTGTCTGTGTACCAATGGGGAAATTTATGCTGACTTCCCGTCCCACAGGGGCAAAAGAAAATTAGAGAAAACCTGATAAGGAAAGCAGAGGTACCCTCTTAGACATCTGTCCCCAGAACATATGTATCCATTGGAAGCAATCTTCCCAAGTATTAAACTGATAAACAACCGCTCTGGGGGGATAGCTTCAAGTAAATTTACTCAGATAGCCAGCCAGACATGCAGCAACTTAGGCGCATTCATTCAAAAATATGGGCTTGTAGACCACTTTTGATAGGGTTTTGAACAATAGAGCTATCTGTGTTACCTTAAATTATCTCCAAAAATCAGATAAAAATGACACATATACTCATATTTAATTGGAGCAGGACCATTAGATGGGTCTTCTTGTCTTGATAAGATATCAAGATTAGAGGAAAGATGTTCATTAAGCCAAGGTTGAATGAACATATTTATGATTATATGTTTAAATTCTTGTTACCTTGTTTTATAAGGCCTAAATGTTCTACATGAACTCTAGTTACCTCTATCTACAAAGTGAAATGTCCTACCTGTTGCTTGTTCATACAACTCATTTTCTATATATTATATGTATATATGATGTTTCCACTATAAAATAGTGCACTCTATAAATGCAGACGTGGCACAATGTATAATGATGGTAATTAAGTGAAATTTTAAGGTAATTCACATAATTAAAGCTTGACGATGTGATTCAGCAGGGATCATACGTTTTCCCTATACAACCTTTTGTGTTGGGACAAGTCTAAATGTTTGGATTTCCCCTCACTTTCTTTCTAGACGATGATGGTCATCAGTAGAAATAGAGACGTGAATCTCCCCACTGGGTACATGGATATGAACAAAAACATGACAAAGTCTAACCTTTCCCACTCTTTCTAAAATGAAAAAAAACTTCTTCATTTTGGATATACAGTAATGTAGAAGACTGAGCAACTCGGGTTTTGTTTTTTATTGCTATCTGTATCCCCAGTGTGGTTATTTACTGTCACTATTGGTCCTTGCTTTGAGAAATCCATGACCTTAACCCTTCCCTACTCTCTCCAAAACTAAACAAAAAAGCTTTTGCATAGCAAGTACCCGGACAAAAACACCACAGTTAAAGTCGTATTTGTATTTAACCACCTCCCGTCCATGGCCATTCTTGAACGGCCAGACGGGAGTCTTAAGACGTCCTGTCCCTCCCCCCTGCTTGTGCGTAGCGCTCAGCGTGCACACGAGTGGGGAACTGTTAGCAATGTAAACAGGAACTGGCATGGCATCATTCTCAGTGGAGATCAAAGGGAGATCAGTACAGAATCTCCCTTTGATCTCTTCTCGGTCCCCGAATGCAGGAAGTGATGTATATTCAGTGTCACTCTCTGGTACAGGACACCGGCAAGAAGCTGGTGAAGCAGATCTCTGCTTCATCAGCTTCCCTGGGGGTCCCTAGGTGACATTAGGGGTCTTAGAGACCCCTGATGTTTCCATAAAGAGGACCTGTCACGTGAATTGGCTGTCACATAGGGGATTTCTTAGTCCCTTATGTGATGATAGCAATAAAGTTAAGTGTCAAAAAAAAAGTTTAAAAAAAATTAAAGCATAAAAAATAAAGAACTAAAAAATATTGTCAAAAAAATTATTTAAAATAACACAAAAAAATGTTTTAAAGTCCCCTGCCCCGCCCCCCCCCCCCTCGTGCCAAAACGACGATTGCGCCTGTTGTGCCGCACATGTTACATATCGCCGCAAACATTTTAGGGCCATCAATCACTGATAACATTAAACTGATAAGCTTTTAAAGCGTCGTCTGTAGCCAATTTTGGGTGTGGTCGTTTTCTGCGATTTCGTGGGCGCTCACAATTTTAAAGCTTGACATGTTTGGTGTCTATTTACTTGATGTGACCCCGTCTTTTATATTTTACCAAAAAATTGGGGTGATAATAAATGTTTCATAACATTTCATAGGGAAACTGTTTTTTTTTTTATACATAATTTAGGATACTTTTGTTGTTATATAGTAAAAAATAAAACCCCCAGTGGTGATTAAATACCACCAAAAGAAAGCTCTATCTGTCCCCAAAACATTGTATAAAATTCATTTCAGTACGGCGTTGCATGACTGAATAAACGTCAGTCAAAGTACCGCAGCTGAATACTGAAAAATGGCCTGGCCAGGAAGGGGGTGTAACACCCTGGTCTTCAAGTGGTTAATGCAGGCAGTTTGTTTTGAGTATTATTTTATAAAGAACAATCTGTTAACTATCATACCTTGCTTACTGAAATCATAATACCTCTTAATAGCATTGTGTACAAAAAAAACCTTTGCTGCTGTGCAGACCTATAACTCTAGAGGAGACCAACTTTTTGCATTTACAGTGGAGGCTGAGTGCTGAAAGCAAAACCTTTTCATTTGTTCTGCAAGCTGTGTCTAATGAATGGCTCCACTTAGCTGCTGCACATTATATCATCATAGTCTTGGCACATTATCGCAAATAAGTGGTTATGTTTCCCGCAGATACATTATGGGGTTAAGACCAGAAATAACAATGTGAAACTGCATTTTTGTTTTACTTCTGAATAGGTGAGCTTTTTTTTCTTTTCTTAAACACATACATTTGTGATATCATTAGAAGAAAAATGCTGCATATAAAGTCTATTGGGCAGAATGTTCTTTGGTAAAAGCATAGATAAAGTCAATCTTGCTGAAGACTAGTTAGGTGCCCTCCCAGAATTGTTAATGGTAGAGCAAACATTTAATTGATTTGCTTGCATTGTTCCAGTGATGTTGTGAAAAGTTGAGCTTCATAATTGAGTACTGAGTGGATGCACTCTTCTGTCCCAGGATAATGACACATTAAGCAAAGAGAGAAGTCACTGCAATCGAGTGCAGGCATCTATGAGAGCTGCAATACAGCTGAAGCACATAATAGCAGGTGGAGATATTGCTGGACCGGACCGAAGATGGCTGTTAATTTTGATTTAAGCTTTCTGAAGGAACTCGAAAGAGAAAAGGTACTTGACGTCTTGTATCGAGACCAGACACTTCAGAAATCAGAAGAGGAAAGAATAAGGTATTGTGGAAATTTGTTTTCTCATCTATAAAATGAGCAACATTGTTTTGTTGCAGTATAAACAGGAGGAAATGTATCTTTTTTTGTATCTTTAGCAAAAACTGTATATCTAAAGATGACATTTTAAAAGCATGATCCTCAAATATTATGGTACTTATACAAAGAGTTGTGATCATCTGCAGCTAGAAGGCAAAAAATACTTCTTTTCAACAATATGAATGTGGTCATGAAAACATGTGTATACTTGGATGGTTATTTGGCATTCATACGAGAATAACTTTCCAGTATTATCTATTGTTCCATTGGTGGTGTTTTACGCTAAAGGCTTAAAGTGTACCTGGACTCAAAAAGTAAAGATTTGTTATGTTATTGTGAATATTTAGAAATGTTAATTATAAACTAAGAAATACCTGAGAATACATATGAAAGGCATGCTGCCTGGGAAGGGTATAGTTCCAGAGAAGTCCAGTCATGCTTCTCAGGCCTGCTGTCTGTGGAGAGTATAATCTCCAGAGAAAGGACCAGTTCATGTTTTTTGGCTTGTTGCCCGGGGAAGGATGCTGAATCTATAGAAGAGTCATCATAAGTCAGTTGCCATTTTCCAATTAAACGGCCACTAGCTTGTGAAAGTGGCTGAAGATACCTAAATGTACCTGTCCATTGGCCTATTGAATCTTTAGTCTGTGGCAGAGGTTAAAGATACTATAGATATATATACTAAATATAAGTGAGCAAAAGGAATTGTTGCCGTGGTTTTTGGGTATCCTGTAGGCTGCAACCCCCAACCCTCTCTCCCTTGGACAACTAAGCCAATAACATTGAAAAAGAAGATTGATGGAGTAGAAGTCTGTCTGGTAATGAGTGCCCTCTACAAGGCAAATCACCAGTAGTAAGGCTCAGAGTGCCTACATTGTTCAGCAGCTCCTGAGGGGGTCAGTGTTACACCATTATACATCTTAATTTTAAATATTTTTAGTTTTTTATGGCTCTGTATTATTACAAAATATTTTACATAAACCAAAATTACATTATGTTAATAGAATTAAACTAGGGCTGTGCAAATTACCGATTAATTTCTCGATTAATCGTTAATCTTTTTGATCGATTACAATTTTTTTGATCGATTCAAAATTTTGAAAACTTTCTGCACGAGCGCCAGCCAAGGCATTGGCCTATACACATACAGCACAGCAAAGAAGTAATAAAATGAACTAGGATCACACTAATCCAGCACGTTATTATTCTGAGTTGCCCCACTCAAGCGGCGGCCCTATTGAGTGGGGCACTTGAGATTAATAACGTGCTGGATTAGTGTGATCCTAGTTCATTTTATTACTTCATTGCTGTGCTGTATGTGTATAGGCCAGTGTAGTTGGATCTGTATGTGCGTTATAATTAATCGATTAATCGATTTTACAAAATTTCGTAAGAGTCATCATAAGTCAGTTGCCATTTTCCAATTAAACGGCCACTAGCTTGTGAAAGTGGCTGAAGATACCTAAATGTACCTGTCCATTGGCCTATTGAATCTTTAGTCTGTGGCAGAGGTTAAAGATACTATAGATATATATACTAAATATAAGTGAGCAAAAGGAATTGTTGCCGTGGTTTTTGGGTATCCTGTAGGCTGCAACCCCCAACCCTCTCTCCCTTGGACAACTAAGCCAATAACATTGAAAAAGAAGATTGATGGAGTAGAAGTCTGTCTGGTAATGAGTGCCCTCTACAAGGCAAATCACCAGTAGTAAGGCTCAGAGTGCCTACATTGTTCAGCAGCTCCTGAGGGGGTCAGTGTTACACCATTATACATCTTAATTTTAAATATTTTTAGTTTTTTATGGCTCTGTATTATTACAAAATATTTTACATAAACCAAAATTACATTATGTTAATAGAATTAAACTAGGGCTGTGCAAATTACCGATTAATTTCTCGATTAATCGTTAATCTTTTTGATCGATTACAATTTTTTTGATCGATTCAAAATTTTGAAAACTTTCTGCACGAGCGCCAGCCAAGGCATTGGCCTATACACATACAGCACAGCAAAGAAGTAATAAAATGAACTAGGATCACACTAATCCAGCACGTTATTATTCTGAGTTGCCCCACTCAAGCGGCGGCCCTATTGAGTGGGGCACTTGAGATTAATAACGTGCTGGATTAGTGTGATCCTAGTTCATTTTATTACTTCATTGCTGTGCTGTATGTGTATAGGCCAGTGTAGTTGGATCTGTATGTGCGTTATAATTAATCGATTAATCGATTTTACAAAATTTCGATTAATCGAACACAAAAATGTTAATCAGTAACAGCCCTAAATTAAACTCGTCATGGTCTGCTGGCTATTTAGAGTCAACTCCATCAACAGCTTTGGTTTTAGATGATGAGATTCTCAAGCTTCCTAATAAATGGAGACTGCTGCAGGAGTAGGGGTGGTAACTGACTTCAGGCATAACCCAAAATTATAACTAACACTTTACAATAGCAGTAAACAGATATGTGCATTAACAGATCAATGTCTGCATCTCACTGGTTTTCAGTCTGTAAGCCAACCTTTCTCAACCAGGGTGCTTCCTCAGGGGTGCCTCAAAATTTTATTTAAGTGGGACTGTGATGTGTGGTGGAACGAAAACCGATGTAAAAAGGGAACTCTGATGATTAAGGGAGGACTCTGATATGAAAAAGGGGCTCCTGATGTGAAAGGGTGACTTTCATGTGAAGGGTGGAATCTTGATTTGAAGGGGGCACTTCGATGTGAAAGTGGAAAGCCACTTTTTTGCGTGTTTTATGACATTTTAGACTGTGGTGCCTGGAGATTTTGCATACATTTAAAGGGTGCCATGACTGACAAAAGGTTGAGAAACGCTGCTGTAGACACACTGAGCATTTTAACTTTGAAATCAGTCTGAAATGCTTCTGGGGTTTATTATTCACACTTCAGGTGAATTTGACCTTCAGTTGACCTGCATTTGACCTGCTTCCAGTGGCTTTTGCATTCTCATAGATATGTATGGGCACATAAGCAGTTCTAAATTGAAGAAAAGATCATCAACACAGGCCCCAATCTGTTGTTGGAAAATAAACACAACATGCACATATTTACACTACATACAGAAAAATAACAGGAAACCAATGGTAAAATGGCCCAGTTGTTGACAGCTAACAATTCAACAGGGTTAGTGATGTTCTAATACTCTTAAGGCCTGGTTCACACCTGGGCGTTTTACAGCGCGTTCCTACGCGCTGTAAAACGCTCAACATGTGAAAACCAATAATTGCCTATAGGCATGGTTCCCACCTTGGCGTTTTACAGCACGTAGGAACGCGATGTAAAATGCCCTACGCCCAAAGAAGTACAGGAGCTTCTTTGGGGCGTATTTGACGTGCGTATCCATTGGGATACAGCCGGATAGCCTACGGAAACGCGTGTTTGTCGTGCGTTTCTTTTACCGCAAATCACGGTAAAAATACGCCTCATGAACCGCGCGGCAAACGCGCATATTCCATACGCCCAGGTGTGAACCATAGAGATTCATGTTATCCTTTGGAATTAAACCCTTATATGTTATACAGTCACTTCCAATAGACAACTCTGGGACGCATATAGCAAAAGAAAAGTCAGCTGAACAGAATAAAAGTGCTTGCTAAATTTGGACTGTCCTTGCAGTTCATCTCAACCTGGTGCTTTGTATAAGGAGCGTTCCTGTACAATATGCCCCAAATAATATATGCAAGCTTTAAACAACCTATTCCTATGTCAATGTTTACAGAAATAACTGCCAAATATATACTACTAAGCTTATAAACAGCTCACAGGTACATAATCAATAATAAAAACTCTGCTCCAGTCTGTGTCGTAAGACCCAGTTATTGCCCCCCCAAAGGCGGGTTGAAGTTGGACCCAGACTTTCAGTCACAGCAGGCACTTCAGAGACACCTTAGCCCTTCCTGTAATGGGCATCTGTTGGTGACCAGGACGAATAGTTAGAGATAGAGGTAAGGGTCTATCTGTTCATTTTTGTCAAAAGGTTAAAATGTGCATATCATTAACAGTCTGCTAGGCAAAAAAAAAAATGGAGAAAGGAGTGTGCTTGAAACAGGTAAAGACACTGATTATTAAAGTACTATTAAGGTTCTTTAACTGTGTCTGCTAGAATTTTCTTTTTGTTACACTTGATTGATTATTTGTATCAATGAGCATCACAGTGTCATTTATGTTTGTTATGTATCTACTCTTTTCTGTTGTTTGATGCAGAAAATTGAAAGCACATCTACAACAGCTTCGATGGAAAGGTGCAAAAAGTGCAAGTCAAGAATACCAAGAGAGGTCTTGTGCCCGCTGTCAGAAAGCCCTCGGAAGGATTGTGAACAGAGGCGTTGTTTGCAATGGTTGCAGCCATAGAGTCTGTCATGGATGTCAGGTTTTTCGCAGTAGTCTAGCGTGGAAGTGTACAGTTTGCAATGCTCATGGGTAATAATTCTCCTCATATGTATTGTCTCTTTCACCTAGCCTTCCTTCTTTTGCAAATGAGCAGGAAACAGTTTGGGAATATCAAACAAATGACTGTATAACTGAGGCATTCAATAATTAACCTTTCTTCTCTACTTAGTTCTTTACACCTCATCTGCAAATATATAGGCTTGGTAATAAAAATAATTTCCTGGAATAAGGAAAGATTGCACGGTGAAATGCTGTAGAATATAGTTGATTCCATAAGAGACAAAAGCTCAGTTTACATACCAAACCTTCTTATTGACAATCTTTCCTCTAATAACCAGTTTCTGTACATCAGTGAGCTGTTCTTTTGTAAGAGGAACTCCATTAACAACTTTGTCTCAAAGTGGAAATTAATAAATATCATTTTCTGCAAGCCAAATCTTCAATTAGGAATACAAGGCTGAGTTATCCTGAAGAGCAAGGCTCTTCTTTTGGGCCTACGTGAGTCACAGTTTTTTCTTCTGAAATACACTAAGCTATAGCTGCATTTTTGGCTGCCAAAAAACTAGGGATGCACTGATACCGATACTAGTATCAGTGCCGATACCAAGTATTTGGGCGAGTACTCGTACTCGCCTAAATGCTCCAATACTTACCTCCGATACCAGAACTTCCGGTCAGAGCGGGATCTCCCTCTGACCGGCAGTGCCAAGGGAGCATGTAGCTGGCTTCCTTTCCAATCAGGAAGCCGGTAGGTGGGTTATGATCTGCCTCCCAACTTCCTGATTGGCTAGGAAGCTGACTTCACTGTTTGCTAGGCAGCCTGACTTCCTAACCAATAATGTAATGACCTGCCTCCCAGCTTCCTGATTGGTCAGTAAGCAAGGCTGCCTAGGAACAAGTGAAGCCAGCTTCCCAGACAATCAGGGAGGTGGGTCATGACGTGCCGCCCAGCTTCCTGATTGTCTAGGAAGCCAGCTTTGCTTGTTCCTAGGCAGCCTGGCAGCCTGGCTTCCTAACCAATCAGGAAGCATGGCGGCACGTCATGAATCACCTCCCGGATTCCTGATTGGTCAGGAAGCCACTCTGCATCGCAACAAGTAAAGCCGGCTTCCTAGCCGATCAGGAAGCTGGGAGGCGGGTCATGGCATGCCACCTAGCTTCCTGATTGGCTAGAAAGCCAGCTTCACTTGTTGCTAGGCAGCCTGGCTTCCTGACCAATCAGGAAGCCAGACGGCACCCCATGACTTGCCGCCCGGCTTCCTGATTGGGGACACTATTCCTGGGACAGCGGTTTAGAAGGTACATTCCCCTAAATTTGTGAGATCTCCTCTAACTTCCTGCCAGGTCTTTGGGGCAGGAGGTAAAGGGAATATCTCCAATGTTAATCAGACACCAAATAATAACCTGGCAGGGGTGTAAACTCTTTCCTACTTTATCAAAAAGTAAAAAAAGTTTTGTCTATGGATACACTTTTAGTTATCCAAGATTAATTTGACAGAACCCTATATCTTGTTCTAACCCATTTCAAATTAAACTGATGCATGCATATTGGCTTTTGCCAGTCTTCTGCTTTTCTCACATGAATGTTTAAACATTCGTTTGTTTGCCTGTCTCAAAATTTAGACCAGCTTTTCAGCCTCGATACCTCTAGAGGTTGCTAGGGGTTCCTAAGGCAGTTAGCAATTTCTGCCTGTTCTAGACACTTCTAGATAGGTAACCATTGACACCAATGATCTTTTTAGCTATTTCTAAGGTGGTGTTTCTTCCCACTGACCACAAATGTAAGGAGTATTCTTCCCAATGACCATCGCACTTATGTACCATGAGCTGCAGATTTAGTAATTATTAGCAGTGGTTTGCTGAGACCGGAAAGTTATTTTAAGGGTTCTTCCGTGGTAAAATGTTTGAGAAAGGCTCCATTAGATGGTTGCAAAGTACTATTATAACCTTAACTCAAAAGAGTTGATTTACTAAAGGCAAATAGGTTGCAAGTTCTGTATATATTCCGAGGCCATATAAACATGTAAAAATAGAAACACAAAAAAAGAGCAGGCAGGATTGTGCTTATAAAACTCTTTTTAAAGAAGAAAAAATGATTGCACTTACAATAACTTGATCCGGTGAACTCTGTTTTGTGTTCCTATGAACTCAAACTCTGCCTAAAAGCATACATTTTTTTTAGTTTTGGATAGAGTAGGTGATAGTTACAAACTCTGTACTTTTTGTGTGTCCTGTTGGGAAGATTTCCCCTAAGGCCCCTTTCAAATGGGTGCCTATCAGTTCCAGTCACCAGGGGGAATGGTGCTGCTGATTGGAGCAGAGGGGAACAGATATCACCGTTGTGACATCCGGATCCATCCAGTTTTTTCTTCTATCCTGCGATGGAGTTAAAAATGTAACTTACCGGGCACATGTTAGGTTTATGGGAAGTCAGATGGAAGCGGATGTATACATAAGACTGCCCCCAATCTGTCACGATCAGGTCCGGCAAAATGGAACTCCAGTGATGGGTAAACGACCGCACGTCCATTTATATCTGGCTTCACATAGACTAAAAATTTTTAGTTTTACATTTTTTTAGTTTTCCGCCTGAAAAAAAAATAACTGAAAGGGGTCTTACTTCTTGTCCCAGAGATACAATACTAAATAAGAGGAAATCTCTTCAAATTGAAATCCCTCCTTAACCCCTAAGTGGGCAGAACTTAATATGCGCTGATAGATTGCATGCCAGCATTATTGCACTTTGGGAAATACTTTAGTACTGTATTTACTGTATATTTTGAGTTTAACAAATGGTAGTATATAATGACAGTGATATTTTTCCTTATATATTTTAGAGATATTAAAATAAAGACTGGTGAATGGTTCTTCGATGAAAGAGAAAAGAAATTTCCATGTGCAGGTAAATGTTATGATTGTGTGGAAACCTGCAGGCAGAGCTACCAAGTGACTCTAAAAATAACTTTTACATTATCTTATTTTCTCTGCCTGTATCAGTCTGGCTGTTTCTGCTATGAATACTACAACATACCCTCAAGAGTCATAAAGCTAAAAAAAAGTTTGTGCTTAAAATGGCATGGTTGAAAAACGTAGTCACAGGAAAAGGCAGCAGAGTGTTAACATGAGGTCCGTTTTCTATTATTGACAAAGCTAGATGTGTGTTATTTTGCTTATCGTACTCCCAATACAGCCAATACAGTCTTGTGCCAATGTGTTTTCACTGCCTGTATTGCACCTGCTGTGGTTTATGGATCCCTAAGTCATATTACGATGGACCAGTCTGCTAACACAGATGGGCAAGGGCTCTTAGAAACTGGGCTCTTGACATTTTTCCAACTGTTAATTTTAGATGGGTGTTTACCTAAAGAGTGGTACTGCTGAATTAATCTATAGAATGAGAGTGGTCAAATGGAATCAATGTGGTATTGGGCTACTTTGTAGAACCATTGAATAATAAAATTACGGTCGAAAGCAGCCATTACAACCATAGCCCAAACTGAACCTTCTTCTATAGACTTCTAGTGAGTTTGGTGATTCCCCTACCAGGCAGCACCACCCTGCAATGTAAGCCTTATGGCCTGCTCACAAATCCAAGCCAAATGGGAGCATCATGGAAACCTTTTTTTTGCAGAATAGGTTGTGAGAGATTTTGAAACTAAGAAACCTATAAAACTGCACTGAACATTAAACACACAACCATAATCCAAAGCTGTGAGTTTGTATTTTTTTTAAAAAAGAATAATAATTTGTGGGCACATGTTTATTCCTGACTTTCCTATGTACCTGTATGAAACCTGTGTACTGTATGTGTTATGATTTTTTGTTTTAAAGGAAAACATGAAACAGCTGGTGCTAAGCTTTTGAAAACCTACCAAAAATTTAAGTAAGTGCTGATAATAACCTTTATTAATTTTGTTGTTCATATCAGAATCACATTAATCATTTGCAGCTTTGCTTTACATGCTGTGAATTTAAGTTCCTAGTGTACAGAATTCTTAATATTGTGACTATTTCACTGACATACTCAGGAGCTTATAGGGCAGTCCATTAAGACAATAACAATAAATAAATTGATAACAATCTTTCAAAATATTGTACTGCTTTTATAGAATGTTTCATGTCCGGGATCTTTGGCTTTTTACAGCATCAGAGAGGAAAAAGACAGACAGACAGAGATACAACATAAATATCGCACACTGTAGACTGCTTGCTTGATTGTCAACCTCCTGCATATGGTGACTGCGACTTGTGATTTCCTGTTTCAAGAACCTATATATTCTTGCAGCAGGAATCCTAGCTTGGTCCATACACATATCCATGACTGTCCAAATGTAATTGTAGATGGAACAATGACCTGCAACTCAGGAAAAATGCCCTGGACGCAATTTTTCTGTGTCTAGAAAGAAGTATACTGTAGCATACGATTATATGCAGGTAGCCACAGACAGAAGCGGCTGCTGTCAGCCTGTCATTAACTTGAGTGGCCTCATCTGTATGAACCGACCTGGGATTGCTGCCACAAGAATCCGTGAGTTCTTGCCACAGGAATCCCCAGTTGCACATAATAGCCCTGTGTGACTGAGGCCTTAGGCAGTAGAATACAGAATTCAGAGATAAAAGGGAGGGCAGGTGACAGAAGCATGTTATAATGCCCCATTATATAACAAAAAGAATAATGATGTCAATGTAAGATAGTAAATTACTGAGGTCAGCATATTTTTCTTCTACTTTACTGTACTTTTTCACTTCAATTTAGCCAGAGAAAACATAATACCACTGAAAGAAATTGAATATATTTATAAAACATAAATAGGGTTATTCACTAAAAGGTGGCGAGTTTGGAGAAGGCAGGAGATGTGAACAATATAGGACAACATAGCTGAACTGGAAAGTGAGCTGAATGGGAGAGTTTTTCCAAATCCGCTATTTTGCCCTAGATTGTTCACATCTCCTGCCTTCTCCAAACTCGACACCTTTTAGTGAATATGTCTGATAGAGAAAAAAATTGAGATAGTTTATAGAAACAGGTCGTACTCCTACAAGAGACACTCTGACTTCTATGTAGTTTATTTAATGCACACAGACCTGTCTTCAAACATTGTCAGATCTTGCAGGTTTAGTAATGTGAATTTGGTACAATCAGACAGTGCTCCATCTATGTATATGTTGTCATTGTTGTTGGCTTAGTTCCTTTTTCTTTTTTTTATTTCACTGGACAGGATATAAGCTGTGTATACAAAAGACTGTCTTCACAAAGCCGCCTTTACTTTCACGTTTAGAGTGTCTATTTTGATAAAGCATTCAGTCTAGTTTTAATTTGTATGTGTAACCTGCTATAGTACAGTATTGCCTTAGGCTTTGAAATGTGTCACTGTTCTTATTAGCAATAATGATGAAACGTGTTTTCAGTCAGTCATGGTCTGTAATATTGTTAAATGTCTTTCTACATGTATCAGAATATACAATGATACTTTGACTTTTGCTTTAGTAAGATTCTACTTTGTTTATGTCCTAGTAAGATTTCTGTTGTCCCTCCAACACCACCTCCATTCTCTGAAGTATCTCTGGCATATAACAATGAGGTAACATAGCTTTCACTTTTTTAAATCCTTGTTTTGGATTGCAACTTAATAAAAAAAAGTTGGGTGTAACAACCAACCATGGACAATAAAATACTACTGTAAAAAAACCAAAAAACAATGTAGTAAAACGGGGTAATTACAGTACAATGGACCACTTTGCTTAAAGTAAACTTGTCAGCCATTTTAAACTTTAATGGCTGAAAGAAGTGCATATACCACAAAGAATATTGTATAAGTTTTGGTACCCAAAGAAAAATATCCTCCTTTGTTTTCCCCTTTGCTTCAGTTTTACATTGTTAATAGATGCTTGACTTACTTGATTTTAGGCTAATCCCTGCCTTTTTCCTCCTGTATAATAGGAACACTTCAGTTGCCGTTAAAGCTGGATTCACACTTTCACATTGCAGCAACTTGCATACCATTTACTATGAATGGCATCCCAACACACCAGCTTTGTAGCAGTTTTGTTGCTGTGTGTTGCATTAGAAAAAAAGAGTAATCTGCGATCTTAAAGGAGAAGTATTGGGAGAGTAAAATAGTTTGAGCAGGTATGTGACACTACAGCTGTCACAGACCACTGATCGCTCAGCTCATGGTCTTTTCCCTGCAGAGAGCAGTGACTGTTATTCACAGCTCCTCACAGGGATTCCCCCTCCCATATTTTTGTTCCTCAGCTCTAATTGGAGGGACAGACAGGGGAGGGGGTGGGCACAGCTGGCTCTGGCCCTAGAGAGCCCGTTTTCAATCAGGCAGTAGAGTGGATGCCGCCAATTTTGGTGGGATCTTTCCTGGCTGCAGCGCGGTTCTGCACTGTCAGCATATAGTGGGCAAAAAAGGTTTGGCTATAGTTCTCTTTTAAGTACATTAGGGTGCATTGGAATGTGGGTTAAAGCACCAAGAATACACTTAGCAAATAGGTGGACAAGCTTAGCCCTGAAGTCAGAAAAATCAAGGTCTTAGTAACAAAGTAGAAGTAAATCATAGAGGTGCACAGGTTTTGTGTAGAAAAATGATAATATCAACAGGTGGTACTTGTTCTTGCCTGATCACAGGTTGGACATATTAAAACTAATGTTAAAATGTTGAAAAGGTGTTTCTATCCTTTCCCTTCTCTGTCCAATACAAAAATAAAAAAATTTTCCTGGAGGTTTTTAACATTAATGTTATTAATTTCTTTACTCATATGCTGACGAGTGACATGATTGTTTTTTTTTTGTCATTCATGTCTTTACAGTGAATAAACAAACTTTCCTTTGGGCAACAATTACATTAAAAATATTTCCCCACAAAAACATTACTCCTGAGGGCCCATTTAGACTTGTCTGTTACAGTGTGTTTTCGATAACGATCACACATTAACCACAAATCGGACATGCACCTTTTTTTCTGACGCAGATCACTACAACACATGGGTTGTGCATTACTGTGCAATGTGGTGTGCTTCAGAGATGTGTTTGATGCATTGTAGTGCCATTGACAATTATTGGCACCTCAGCCTAATGCCTACTGACTACTATGGAGGAGCAAATTGACCTAGGTTTGATTCACAGGCTATTCATCAAACTCATTTTACATTTCTGGAAATTGCAAACATTAATCTGAACCCTTTTGAGGTCAATGGGGCAGATGAATCTAGAAAAATCAATTCTGGCCATTCTGAAAGCTAATAGGAAAGAGATTGTCAAAGGCCTGAGAGCTAGGCACTGCCACTGGAATCATGTACCAGTGCAAATAGATTTTTCTTTTTTAATTACCATTCAGCAGAGAGAGGTTCCTTCTTTTTTGTGACTTCAAGGGCAACATTGAAAAAACATCAATCTTTCCTTTGTGTTATGGAACAGTACGATTCTAACAGACAGCGTCAGCAACACTGCATACTTGCATTACTTAATTTGTATGTGTAAAACATTTTTTTACTTTTGCACTATTGCTTGGCTTTAATATACCAGCAGCACCCCAATCTGATTAATTAATTATAACTAGGGAAAAAAAAGCTCTTTTAGGTAGTTGTGGATGCAACACTTGATTTTTTTAGTAACAGATATGAATTGACCTCTGGTGCTATATAAAATTGTACTTTCCAAAAATTAAGCTTACACGCTTAACTCTGTACAAACTGGTCAGTGGCACAACCGTTTGATTGTATAGTCTGTATGCTTTTTTTGCAGTACCACACTACCCAGTAAACCCTACCAAATAAAAAGCCAAAACACTTCAAAACCACAACCTCACATTTCTTGAACCCCCTCCTAATTATACCCAATTATTCCAAAAATATTTAAAATCTAGACTTCAAGTATGTGTTTGATAGATATTGGATAGCATCAGGACAGTCCCAGAGCACTTGAACGGGCAGTAAATTCGAAGAGCTCTGCAGTGTGCACCTCTGCTGCCAGCTAGACCATTGTGACATACAACCTCTGCCTGTAGCATGTCAGCTTTGGTAACAATACCATCCATTTCGGTACCACATGCAAGAAGAAATAAATGACTATACACCAAAGAGCATGGTGGGAACAGCACCTCAGTGATACCGGTCGGCAGCAAAAAGCCAGCACTCAGTCTTGGGACAAGGTCCTTGAGCACCCAAGGTGAAAAGGCCAAAGTGCTCCTTCCAATGAGCTCCCAATGAGCATTCCCTATGAACTAGCTCACCAGCATAGGTTGCAGTTCCTGCCCTTTTTGCACCCCCCCTCTTTCTGCTGAAGAGCTGACGATGGCTACCCCTTTTTTTCTGTCTGACCCTTCCCGCACTCTTCCTCACTTTACATCCTCCATGCCGTGCACCAGGCAGGAAGAATGTATGGCAACGTTAAGCGGTCATACCCAGCGAGTGTTTTGCCACACCAAAAAGTGTCATCAACACAAGCTGTCTGCCAAGCACTTAATATGCGCAACACCTAACTTTACGGTAGCCATGTTGTAGCAACAGCACCAGACAGTCAACTTAATTCACAAGCATAGTGCTCCAGAGGAGTGCTAAGCACATTTGTAACGAGAACATCCCTGCGCTTTTTGTTCTTATATTTAAAGTAGTGGTATGGTCACACTGCTGCGTTATAAATCGACCACTTAGAGCACTGAAGCAAGAGAGTCAGAGTAAAGGCCAAGGAGAAGGAAAGGTCTGAAATGGTAGCCTCCATGTTTCTTCCATGACAGGTTGTCTTTAGCAGCTGAAGCTGAAGAATAACCATTTATCTGAAATTGTCATTCCCTTCTAGGAGCTCAACAAGACAAAAGGTTTTCATAAATCAATGGAAAATCTCTTCCTATCTCTCAGCACACAAGTAAAAAGTGAGTATGAGTCTACTGCATTATTCAATTTAGTTTAAAAAAAAATGATTTACTTGTTTAAGATCAAAGTCTTGGCTTCCTACAGTGGTTGCCTAAAGAATAGTGAGGTCATCTTTTCTTGGTCCTAATACATTAGACTCCTTCATATGTTGCCCTTACTGCTTATGGTATTATGTTCTGGCAATGAATTAGTCCACTGTACTCGGTCTGTTTGTATTTAGTCATTTTTAGTCATTCCCTATGACATGCACATTCACTTAAGGATCCCTCAAAGCAAGTATTAATATATACAGTATGTATGTAATATACAGTATGTGTGTGTGTGTGTGTTTGAGCAGCCCTTTGAAAACGGACAGATCACATTTCACTGACCTGTCCGTGAAAATCGATTGCCATGACATCGATTTTAGGTCCATAGTGGCAAAAGGTTCAATGCACTTATCCGTTCATAAAATGGATATACTTCCTATTCTTGTCCTTTTAAATAAGTGACAATAATGCATTATTCTGTTTTTGTATTAGAAATTTCCAAGTCACAGAATGATATGCTGAACGACAGAATACACCTCTCTACAAACTATGGCAAAGTGGCAGAAAGAAGAAAAGAAAGGAGGAGTCATTCTGACACTGCCATTAATATAGCTTGTCAGGTATGCATTCAAAGAAAATTGTGAATACAAAGTAAAAGGATTTCACAAAAATACATAAAGTGCATCAGTCGTTCACTTTTTACATCCTTCTGTTTTAGACACCAAAATGGATATATTCATAAAGCAGTGAATTTGACATTCATCAAACATTTACAACAGGTGATTCTTTCTGGTGCACGGTTTTTAAATTGCAAGATATGGTTACCACCTGTGAATGTTTGTTAGACGTCACATTCACTGACTCAGTTTTACCTTGAATTCCTATTCAATATGTTATTAGAAAAGAAATAACTGAACGTTCTTATGTACGTATTTCTGTTTTTTAAATCTTTTTTTGTGTGTAGCGATATTGGCACCACTTATATAGTTTGTTATTTTAATTCAAAATAATGTATCTGTGGCAGCTGGAAAAGTCCATCAGTTTGCATAATCTTATTCACAAAGCCAAAGAGGAAGAACTTCAGCTACAAAGGACTAGAAGCCAAGAGGCAGTGGAAAGTGATGGTGCAAATCAGAGGGTGTTCTTTGGGAGCATGAAGCAGGTAGGTTATCACACTGTTTATTGCCTGCATAAGTTCAAACATAAAAAACTAAGAATATGTTTAGCATTGATATAGCAGTTATACATTTATTAATTTATATTTAACGGTTTGGTCTGAAAAGCCACCTGGAATCAAGACAGTCCTGCCTCACTTTTGGGTGCTGCTTAAAAACAAAACTTTTTTTTTTTTAGTTTGGTTTTATTTAGATTAAGGAACCCCTATGAAGTTATTTTTCTGTTGCCTGTGTCCCACTGGGGAGATTCCTTTCACTTCCTGTATCTTGGAGACTCAACAGAAAATTAGCGAAAATTCCCAAATAAACAGAGTTCCCATGTTAGAGAGTTGTCACGGGAGCAGATGTCCCCCATTGGATGATTTTCCCTTACCTCTTGCTCTGGTGACTAGTGTGTGACTTAAGTGTTGGATTTCTCCCAACTTTCTATTTCTAGGACGATGGGTACCAGAGAGTGAATCTCTCCAGTGAAGACACAAACCACAAAATAAACTCTCCCTTCCCTACTTTATCCAACATTAACTAAAAAAAATGCCTTTTACATACATTTTTACAGAGGAGCACTGGGACCATGAAATAAAAAATGAATAATTGAGCAATACAGAGACTGGTTTACTACATGGTTTAGAATACTCACAATAGCTGATGCAATCATGTGAAAAGAAAATCCCTGCTTACTTATGTCATCTTAATTGGGTAATTGAAGCGAATATTAACATGCTCACACAATCTTCACTCAAATATTGTGAATATATAAACAGCTGGCAATGGCTGTTTACATACAACCATTCCAGCGGCTATAGAGCTGCCCAATCGCTTGTATGTTGTGTGGGAGTGTGTGATCCCCCCTCCACTGTAGAGCCATCCGATTGCTTGTGTGTTGTGTGGGAGTGTGTGCTTCCCCCCTCCGCTATAGAGCCGCCCCACCGCTTGTATGTTGTGTAGGAATGTGCGGCATGTCTGTACGCTTACATGGGAGGGAGATCATCACAAACTCCCAGCAACTGATCTCCGCTCCAATCACTGGATCCGGAAGTGATGTGTATTACTGCTACTTGCTGTAGCTGGAGAAGAGGCATAGTGAAGCAGATCACTGCTTTCTAATAGAGGTCCCTGGTGTCACCATAAAGAGGACCTGTCACATCCTCTTTGCTATCAAAATAGAGGGCTTGTTAGCCCCCTATGTGGTAGCAATAGAGTTAAGTGTAAAAGAAAATGTTTTTAAAGTCCCACGTACACACACACACACACATACTAACTTAAACATGTGTCGTGTGCACCTACAAAACGATGATTGTGCCACCCATTTTACATTTTACCGCAAACTTCGGAAGTGAGAGCAAAAATTTGAGGGCCATCAATCACTTTTAACACTAAATTGATGAATGCATATGGTAGTTTTTTGCCATTTTAAGGCTTGACCCCATCATTTATATTTTATCAAAAAAACTGGGTAATTATAAATGTTATATAACACAAGGTAGGGAATACAGTTTTTTATTAAAATCTTTTCCGTACTTTTTACTTTATATAGTAAAAAAATAAAAACCCCAGTGGTGATTAAATACTACCAAAAGAAAGCTCTATGTGTCCCCAAAAAATTATCTGAAAGTAATTTCGGTATAGCGTTGAATGACTGAATAAATGTCAGTCAAAGTACCTCAGTGATACTGAAAAATGGCCTGGCCAGGAAGAGGGTTTAACTGTGATGAAACTTTATGTTTTTACGCTATTGATATATCAGAGTCCCCTTAGTGATTTATACTGTTGCTGCAATGGGACTGCTGTGATCAGAGAGATTGGCAGCAGTCCCTTCCTTCAGTCTCCATTTTGATACTTTTCTGTCTGCTCAGCCAAACTGCAGACAATCTGAACACAGATGTGTTTAGCCAATGCTTTTTAGCAGCAACACATGCTTATTCATCAAGTAGTAGGCCTGCATTGACCGGCAGATAGACTTGAGCCACCAGTAGTTCATTGAGGCTGCCCCTATTCTCACTGATGCAAAACTATCCTGCCCCTTGCAAATTAAATCCAACTTTTATTAATAATTAACAAAGACCTCAGATGATAGAAGACACTGGACCATGCACATTATGTTAAAATGGATTTAATAGAGTATTTGGGGCTTTGCATTCAATTTTATATTTGTATATTTGGGTATTTGTATTGACACAGCCTTGGGGATAGCTGGCAGTTATAGAATGCTTCATCTATGCTGTTTAGCCTGAATAGGGGAATCAAGTGATTTCTCTCGCATGTGTGGCTAGCTTAACATTCCAGAATATCTGAATTTATAAACTTTTGGAGACAGTTTGCCCAGATTATTTCTATCAACTCTGCATTTGAAAGCTAGTTGATTGTTCTAGAAATGTGCCATGTGTGTGGGCAGTGTAAGTGTTCATGGAGCAAACCTTTATGCTATTCAGGGTGTAACTGTGGGGCAGTTGGACATGTCTTTAGATTTCCTAGCCAGTCCAGCTTTCATCTCTGTGCCCATTTCTTTTGAAAGGTATCTCTATAGATCTATATAGTGTCCGATATACTGCACTGCCAGCCAAGTAAGTGATATTTTCACATATGATACATACTAAAATATTCCCTTTTTTTTCTTAGTCTAGCATGAGCAGCATCAGTAGTGTTTGCACTGATGGGGGAAGCATTGACAATGGAAATGTCAGTGGAGAAATTGAGTTTGCCATCAAATATACTCCGAAGACTTCAACTCTAGAAATATCAATTAAAGGATGTAAGAACCTGACACATGGAGAAGAGAAGAAAAAGAAGTGTAATCCGTAAGACTTGTAATGTACATGTTAGAATTCTGCTTCAAAGTACAAGTACTGGGACAGTAAAATACTCTATTTGCAATACTAAGAGCCCGTGTGGTGCACTACAGCTGTCACAAACCAGCTCTATACAGCGAGCTGAGCAACCACGAACCACTGATCGCTCAGCTCATGGCTTCCCCCTGCAGAGAGTGGTGACTGTCGATCACAGCTCCCTGCAGGCATTCCTCCCTACCCTCTCTGTTCCTCCAGCACTCATTGGAGGGACAGACAAGGGAGGGGGTGGGAACAGCTCTAGAGAGGCGGATCCCAACAATATTATCAGGATCCTTCCCAGCAGCGCAACTCTACACTGTCTGCAGATTGTAAATGTACTCCTGTGACCCAAAAGAGAAGTAAAACCACAAAAAGGGTTTTCAGCTAAACTCCAGGCAGATTAAAAAAAAGTCACTGATCTATTAAGTTATGTATTAAAACATAATTATATGTATTTTTTAAAAGAGAACCCAGAAAGTTATGGTGAGAAGGGATACAATAATGAGAGCAGATAGTGATACCTGCAATCCCTTATAAATGAGCCTCTTAGTCCTAATCCTACATTATATATGAGATCCTAATAGGTTGGACTTGATGGACTAATGTCTTTATTCAACCTCAAATACTATGTAACTATGCATATATACAGTTTTTTCTCTGAGATTACCTTTGCTACATTTTAACATTTATTGTGTTTTGTGATAATTACTTTGTATCATTTATTTATCCATTATTTTCTTTTTATGTATGTACCTTGAAGCCCATTTATCACCTTTTGTGGAGGTATTTTTAAGAAAACATATGCCAGCAATATATGAATGTACATGAAGCAGGCATATGCAGTTGGTGTATATGAACACAGAAACTTATTTTTTTTGTAATTCGTCCTCTTCGTGGCTTCCTTTCAAATATCTGCCTCTGCTCGACAAGCAGTCTGTGTAAATGAACACTCTCTCTCTGATATCTTTAAAAAAATATGTCACGGCAACTGGACTAGCTGTATTTTTCTTGAAGACGTTTCACTGGTCATCCAACCAGCTTTCTCAATTCAGGATGGCTTGTACAGAAATTCTCTGGGAATAAATATGGCGATGTTGCTCCAATCCACATACCAGGTGTTGATTATATTTGCATAATTGGAGTTAGGAGGTGTTAATTGCTGGATTTTTCTTCACTAGTGAAACGTCTTCAAGAAAAATACAGCAAGTCCCGTCCAGTTGCCTTGACTTATTTTTTACAGATATGCTGTACCATGACCTGGTCACTCTCTCTCTGAGCTCTCTCAAGCTATTCATTAGTATTCATAGCTGCAATTCCCCTCCCTTCCCAGACACTGTATTATGACCTGGGGAGCAGAGCTGGTCTGCAGTGATCTAGTTACAATGACTCACAGGGAGGCTGCTTTACAATCTGACCCCAGTATCAGACTGAGTTTCCTGTGGAGAGAATTTTCAATTTGTAGGACTCAGGCTTATTAAAAAAATTCCATACAAAATTTGAAAGCCAGCAATGTGATTCATGAAAATGTGTACGCATATACATCATTGCACCACTACATTTTTAATTTTTTTTGGGTGTGGGGGGGTGGGGTATATTTATATTTTGGGGTATATTTATATTTTCCACTGATCTGTATATTTGAGAGGCCCTTTTTTCCTCCTAGAAAATATATTGTGGATGCTGGGTTTGCTTTCAGTGCTCATAAACCTTACATTTTGTATTTTATTTTCCAGTAATTTGTACGGATATATCCTGTTAACAATTCTTCAGGGTTTTTCCACTGAACACCACTGGTTATTTTATGTCTTTAATAATAGGCTTATGTTTTTCAGATTTGGATAAAGGCAGGGTTTTAACCCTTGTCAGCTTTCTTTGCCATTCGTGTCTCATTGGGGAAATTTCCCTGCACTTTCTGTTCCATAGCAATGACATGAAGTGAGAGGAAATCCCTTTCAAAGCGACTGAAATTCCCAGTGATCGGCAAGGTCACCAGAGCTAGTGCTAGTTTCCCAACTATTCCTGTTCTGAATACAACCCAGAATTTGGTATTTGCTTTTACTTTCACTTCGAGTGATAAGAGTCACTAGGACAAATAGACAGTGTGAATCACTCTAACGTGGACACAGACAGCAAAACAAAACCAACCTGTCAGGCATTCTAATCCCTCTCTACTCTATCCAAAATCAACAAATATTGGCTCCCGTTGCCAATCCACCCATAAACTGAGGATATGATTTGCAATAATTTTTATAATGTACAATAATCAGGCCAGAAGAGTCACTCCTTTGCGTCTCACCTTTTCTCCCCTCCTAATCCTCCCGCTTCTCTCAACAGAATATGTAAAACAGTCTTAAGCTGATTCGACAAACTCGTTTTTTTTTTTATGATGCTTGAAAATGACTATGTTCATCTCTGTCCTTCATTGTTTTTGACCCCTGTAAGGGGAGTTTGGTGGAAACTTATATCTTCTTTATCTGCTCTTCGATGTTTTTTCTTTTAATAAACTTTTTTTATGTAAAAAAAAAAAATCAGGCCAGAAGACAGTTTAATCTAACAGTACCAGGTCCAAAGCTTCAGTTATGTTTACTATGTTTTGGTATGAGGAGGAATCATTGTGTTCCTCTTAATGAAGTAACTATTTGTTTTGTGGATTATCCTGTACAACTGAAGAGCCTTTTTAAGCTTACACAGGTTTTGTTTTGTTTTTTTATAAGATATGTGAAGACATACTTGCTTCCAGATAGATCTTCCGCAAGTAAAATGAAAACAAGTGTTAAAAAGAATACAATGGACCCATTATTCAATGAAAGTTTAAAGGTAACATTGTAAAATGATGTTGTCCATGTACTCTGGTTGTTGTTTTAACTAAAGGGGCTGAATTTATATGTACCCACACTCACTAACTTGGCTTTCACAAAATTCTTACCTGTAGCAAGTGCAGAAAGTAAAATAATCTTGAGACTTTTAATGGGATTATTCTGTTTATTAATGTAGAAAAAAATACAGCACAATGACTAATGTGTTCCGCAGGTACTAAAAAAAAGACATTATCACCCTGAAACATTCTGCTGTGCCTTTGCTGTGATATGCAGAAATGAATGGGTTAATCCAGAGGCATATCTACTATAAAATGTGCATATGGAATCCCACGTCACTCACTGAACTTCAATGCAGCGCCTGCCTTCAAGTGGCGACCAGGGCATGTGCCAAATGTGCCATGCCCTGAATACACCACTAGGTTAATCCTATACATGCAGAGGAACTTCAAGATTTTTAGAACTATATGGGCAACATAAATTAAAAATGAAATGACATCTATAATCTGATTGCTGTCTGCATTGCATTCACTTTGAGTAAATTATCTGGGAAATTTGTGACAATTCAGTTAGTTGCAAATCAAACATGCTTTATTAGACTTGCACAAATAATGTAAAACTAACATAATGGGGGTGATTTACTAACCTAAACACATGCACGCACTAGGTGCGTGTGATTTTTACACAGCAAAACGTATTTATCAACCAAAAAGTCTCTATAAGTATGTTTCCACTAATGCCATATATGGAAAAATCATGCACATGATGCATATATAATGCTGCTTCACAGTTTAGACAAAAATGGTTAGCTCATGCATTTACATTCCTGCATTCATCAACGCAAGCAACACAATGTAGAGCTAATTTACACAACATCACCTTGCAATTCATGCAAGGCTTTGCACAACACACCTGCTGGGTGTGTACACACTACAAAGGTGTTTAGATTCCACCCATAGATCATGCTGGGAGGGAACACACTACAGAGGTGTATACATGTTCGTGGTGTGTTTATAAGGTTAGTAAATCAACCCCCATGAATCATGAAAGCATATCTATATAAAGACTTGCAGTTTACTAGTCTTTAGATATGGTGGAGGATTAGTTTTCTTTTTATTCTTTTTTGCTTTATTTTAACCTGGTAATCCTGCCAGTAACACAATTTATGTCCAAAGGTTGACAATGCTCACTCACTATACTGTATCTATTGAGGAGCAGCATTGTCACCCTAGGACAGGAAGTATGTTAGAACTTGAGAGCACCTCACCCCCTCTTCAATGCCATCATAGATGGGAGTTGTTCTGTAGTAAACTAAGAGAGCTGGACAGAGCAGATAACATTGTTTGAGATCCGACTGCAGAGTGCCCAGGGCATAAGACAGCACTGGATTTCTGGCAGAATTATTTTTTGCACTTATCAAACAGAGGTAACCAAATACTTGTATTATTATTATACAGGATTTATATAGCACCAACAGTTTGTGCAGTGCTTTACAACATAAGAAAGGCATTACAATCACAATACAATTCAAGACAAGATGGTAAGGAGGACCCTGCAATCTAAAAGGGAGTGACATGTGATACATGAGATACATGATGCCTCATGTGATACATGAGGAGGTAGTTGTGTGGGGATCAATAGTTTGAGAATGTGATGGCTGAGGGGTTAGTTTGAGGTGGGATAGATTAGTATAATAGGCCATAAGGGAGCAAATAGGAGAAGTTCATTGTATGGGTTTACATACACTTTAATAGTAATTCATTGTGGCACAAGTATGACTTTACAGATGCATGAAAGGTCCTTTTGTAGTAAACATTTGTCACATGGATGATGGAGTAACTGTATATGCTTTCCTTTGCTCACTATTATATTCTTCTCTAGTACACCATTGACCGCTCCCAGCTGGAGACAAGGACGCTTCATGTGTCAGTATGGCATGCAGGTACTCTGAAGAGAAAAGTTTTCCTAGGAGAAGTGACGATACCTCTGGAATTATGGGACTTTGAGGACAACTCCACACAGTCTTTCCACTGGTATCAGCTTAAAGCAAAGGTATACACCAAGTCTATATAACCTGAATATATGATGGTATGTAAACAGAGAAGAATGAATTCCCTTGAGTACATGCACTTATTTAAGCATTGGCTGGACAACATTACACTGTGCTGCCTTCCTGCAACTTCCATAAAGGGCACATGGGACAGGGTGACAATGCAAGAGCACAATTGGGAGACCGTTGTCACCCCAAGAAGTGCCTAAACATAGACCTTATCAAGATCGCAAGATATTCTTTTAATAAAAGCTGCAGATTTAAAAAGATTAAAAACAACTTTTATTAATATGAACATGTTATAACTTTATGAGGACTTGGGACAAGCAAATAGCCAGTGATGTGTAGGGGTACCTTTAGAAAGTAATTGATCCGGGGGTGTGGCTAACCCATGAGTGAGTGAGGATGTGTGTGCTCTGAGCTCCTGCACCTGCTACATCCACATCAACTAGCCAGTGCCTTGTAGATCCTGTAGCTGCCTTGGTCGGACTAATCAGCGGTCGTCTTGGAGTCTCTGTACCCGCTCTACTAGCATCAGCCTGCTATCAATTTTATTTATCTTTTTTCCTTGGACTGCCTGCTCCGCTCGCACTGGTCCGCTGACATACCAGCAGAATGAAAAAGAGCAGTAAAAAGAAAAAAACCGGGGGGATAATTCAACCCTCCCAGTCGGCGACTAGAACAAACATCGGAACATTCTTCAACAAACAGGAAGCAGAGGAGTCAGCATGCACGCCGCAAAAACAGCCCGAGGTCGGTGAGTACGGGAGAGTGATTTCACCTGCCAGTGTCTCTCCGTTAAGCAGTGAGACTGGGCAGACGGGCTGTGATGGATTATCAGAATCAGGCAGTGAAGTTATGGAGATGGAACTGCATGGTGCTATGGGGAAATACCTCTCTCAACTTCCCACTAAGAGAGATATTGAAACAATGCTTCAATGCATAGAAGAATTACATAAGAGGGAAATGACAGAGATCCGGATTAGCTTTCAGAAATTCCATGCAAGGACAGAGGTATTGGAAGCAGTGGTCCCACAGATATTCTCGCGAGGTGGTATCAGGTGCCCACCATCACCCATGCCATCAACCGGGCAAACTCCCCACTGTGTTGGAGATTATGCGGAGCTCAAGGCACGTATGCTCACTTATGGTGGGATTGCCCGCACATACAACAATTCTGGGGGGACGTCACCCGTCTCATTTCCACCACTAGCGGTATATTTTTTGAAAATCTTTAATAAACATTTAATATGAAAAAAAAAAATTACTTTATGAGATTTTAGTGATTGAGTTTGGATCTACTTTAAGGTAGTTATTTTTCATAAGAAGAGCATGGTTTGAAGCTGCCTTAAAAAGTCATAAAGGAATAACAGATAAAGAGCTGAATTACATTTGCTAGTAGTAAAAATCATCTTAGAATCAGATGTGTCTAATATCATTTTTATTTCTAAAGAAGACAAATATAATTAAAGACTGTAATTTCATAAATGACATGGTTAAAAAATGAAATGTAAGATCAGGTAAACACAGAAACCTGATAATTCAATAAAAAAAAAATGCCATATGCTCTAATTCACTTAATGACATTCCCAACATACTTCTAAAGAGCTATGAGAGGAAAATACAATTATAGGTTAGGGAGTGAGAACGGATATTCTAAACAGAGAAAAAGGTTACAAACCAAAGCTGAGAAAAGATTGAATTATTTTCATCATACTAACAGCTCCAATTATTAGAAGGGGTACTTAGCAGAAGACCCAGGACACATGACAGGTCTAGAAAGGCCTCTGCTGGGGATGCTCCAAGTTTAAGTCAGTTAAATCTTTAGAGCACTAAGGGGGTTATTCACAAAGGAGCCGAACGATCCTGCCGTAGCTTTGGCTGATCCTTCGGCTCTCTTCGGCCCCCCTGCCCCCCCTGCCCCTTGGTTCAGTCAACCCGAAGGGCTGCTGTACGGGCTATACACAATAGCCCGTACTACAATCGAAGGCAGCCGAGCCGTAGGCATATGCTTCGGTTCGCCTGAGCCAAAGTGACAGCCGAAGCGTGGAGAAAGCTCAGCCGAAGCCGTCGCTCTGCCAGCTGTAATGACAGATCAGCGTCCCCAAATGACCTGGGGACGCTGATCTGTCATTAAACAATAACTGGACGGAGCCGGCTCCGCCTAGTTGTTATTTATTGGCCGGGACCTGCTAGAAGACTGTGGCAGGTGTCGGACAATAGGAAACAGTTGGACGGAGATTTTAGCTGATGTACGGCTGAAATCAGGCTCATTTCACTTCGGCTGGATTATTCACTCGGCTGCCTTCGTCAGCTTTGTGAATAATCCCCTAAATGTTTTCATACACGTACAAATTATCAAAAAAGAAAGATGTTTTAAGATCTGATTTGATGATGTTTGTTGGTTACTTGTTTGAGCATACAGCTGGATTAACTTGCCTCTCATCCCAGGGTGAAGTTAAGGTCTTACTTTATGATTCATTGATTAATTTACAAGTGTCATTAACCTGGCTTAGGCATACAGTGATCACTAATTGATTAAAGATTGAAGTGTATGGTAAGCCAGACCTTTTCTTTATTTTGGATAGAGTAGGGAAGGGTTAAACCCCTATCAGTTTTTTTGCAGTCTGTGCCCCACTGGGGAGATTTTCTTTCACTTCCTGTCTTGGAGACGCAATAGGAAATGAAATGAAATTTAATTTCCCATCTTACACAATTGTTATCAGAAAATGTTTTCTCCTCATTGACAGATTTTCCTTCACCTCTTGCGCTAATGATATTAAATGTAAGGTTTCCTCTTACATTCTGTTTCAGTGACAGTGGTCAGCAGGACATATAGAGGGATTAATATACTCAGTAGAAACATAGACAGCAAAAAAAACCTTCCCTACTCCATGTAAAACTGAAATAAAATGGTTTTGCCTTTACACACAGATTGTTTAATGTCGATAAATGCAAAGTAATGCACTTTGGAATTAAAAATAAACAAATGGGTTATACAATTATGGGTATGCCACTGGGGAAGTCAGAAATGGAGAAGGATTTGGGGGTCATTGTAGACCACAAACTGAAAGGTAGCTTGCAGTGCCAGGCTGCTGTAAACAAAGCTAGCAGGGTTTTGTCCTGTATTAAGAAGGGGATGTATGGCAGGGACAAGTCTATAATTTTGCCACTTTATAGATCATTGGTTCGACCTCATCTGGAGTACGCGGTCCAGTTCTGGTCACCAGTACTAAGAAAAGATGTCCTTGAGTTGGAAAAAGTCCAGCGGAGGGCAACCAAACTAATTAGGGGTACGGAGGACCAGAGCTACGAGACAAGGCTACTAAATTTAATCATGTTCACATTAGAGGTGAGGTGATTAAGGGGGGATATGATCTCCATGTACAAAATGTTCAATGGTGGTAGCAACATTAGCGATAAACTGTTTAAAATTAACTTCATTACAAAAACTAGAGGCCACCACCTAAAATTGGTGGAAAAAAAATTCCAGCACAAGGGGCGAAGGGGGTTCTTCACAGTAAGATCAGTTAGGGTCTGGAACTCACTGCCACAGGCGGTGATTTCAGCAAATAATGTGGAATTGTTCAAGAAACTTTTGGACGATTTCTTAAGGTACCGCAATATACTGGGGTACGGGTACTCCTAGAATGAGATCCTAATAGGTTGGACTTGATGGACTAATGTCTTTATTCAACCTCAAATACTATGTAACTATGTAACACACAGTTTACGGTCATTTCTGTAAGGCAGTTTTTTTAGACTATTAATAGTTAGTGGTAGGAAACCATCACTTACAGTACATTGATGTCCTGTTTTATTAATAACTTTTTGACTTTCATTTTGTTTAGCCAAAAAAACATGAGGAGGGCACAGTACAATATCATGGGGAGTTGCGTCTGAGAATCAGATTGGAAATACCCCCAGTTCCCACAACCTTCCAGTACGAACACCATTCAACTTATGGTATGTATGTGGGACCTGGGGTTTGATTCACCATTTAGTCTATAATTTCTTGAGGTAACAGGTTTCATTATCCAGGTATGGAAGGTAAACATTTGGGAGTGATTCAGCTTCATCTTGTAATAAAAAGTGCCAAGAATTTGCTGTCAAGACCAGATGGAACGTTAAGTCCATTTGTAAAAAGGTGAGCTGCCAGAGTTTTTATTACTGTTTTGTAATAAACTAAACAACATCCTTTACCTAAGGTGATGCGTATATATATTTAATACTATTTTTCTTTTGTGTAACTTAAGTTGTCTTATCCTGCCAAATAAACATGAATTAAAGCAAAGGACTCCAGTTCTAAGAAGACAAACCTCCCCTGAGTGGAATCACACCATCATTTATAACATCATGAATCAAGAAGATCTGAAGAGGTCACGCCTAGATCTCACTGTTTGGGACCAGGGCCTGAATGAGCTCTTTGTTGGCGGGACTAGTATGAGCACAGGTAACTCGAAACATATGATCCACATTGAGCATCTTGCTCATAGTAATCCTATGATACAATGGGTTAATAGGCTTGCATAAAAGCTTTTCATTTAACACACAGCCATTTCTATACTGAACCAAATGAATAAAAACAAAAGAGAAGAAACCAAATGTCAATGCCTAGATGTAAAATAAAAAGTAGTTTAGATGGTCAAATTCATTCAATAAACAGTAACAGCACTGCAGAAGGGTGACGATTCAAGGGTGACAGGGAAATAAGAGTATTCCCATTCAAGCTTATGAGGCACTTGTGGAAAATTGTATTTTTTATTTTAAATGGAATGCTATGAAACAACCTGTGTTTAAAGTTACACCTTTGCAGAGAGGAAAAGTTGTAGAGATCAACTGTCTCCTGCATAAAAATTAATTATTGCATCCACCCATAACCAATATTTTAGTTTTGGGTCTATACCAATGGACTGCTGTACCCACTGACTTTTCATAGGTCTCATGGCTTGCTTTATACCATATGGTTGAAAATATCCCCGAAACAAGATAAATAGGGAACTCTACATTGATTGCAACCACCTCATAATGAGCACCATAGGTGTTCAGCAGTGGGAACTTGGGTGCAGAGATCTCACTAATGAAGTCCGCAAAGGGTGATACATTAGCTTTCAGTCCTGGGAGAATGGCACCAGTAGTTTGGCATTTTTAGGTGTAGAGAGTGATGCCCTACCCTTAAGGGCCCCTAACCAACAAGCCTATCTTTGGCTCTCTCTATATAAATGTAAAACCCTTGTTTTCATACTCACCTCTCCTGTGCTGGTGTCCTCTACATTGCACACCAACTTCCTCCACCAAAGGATACCAGCAGGAAAATCAAAGAGACAGAATCCAGTGCTTTGCTCCAAGAATATTAGGCTGTATATTAGTGTCAGGGAATCGGGTTCCGTCCCCTGGGTCAGCCGCGCCGGCGTCTGGTTGCTAGGCGACCTGCCGGTCACGTTCCCTCCAGGGCTTGTACTCTCAGACGTCGCTCTCAGACACATACAGTGTCTAAGTGACAGGCAGAGTAGGCCGGCCTTCACACAGCATTTCCGTTACTAGGAGACGGTTGGGAGGGCCACTGCTGACGACTCCACCCACACACACCTGCCTCTCCTACAAGAGCTAAGAAGGCTCACTTGCTCAGCGTTCTAGCGAGGTAGAAAGTCAAGCAACTTGCTAGGGCATTCACCTCCACCATCCTGAACCTTGCTGTCCTCCTCCAGAGGATTCACAGCCGTGAAGCTTCCACAACCAGTGGCTCGGGGTATCTGGACTGTTTACACCAAATCGCAAGTACCACCTGTATTCTCAGTCTGATACAAGATTGCATATCCTCCATTGGCTTGAAGCGACAGTACTCTATTGAATGCCTGCAGCTCACTTACCTTATATATATATATATATTACTGCTATCCTGATTAACTGAACCGTGCATCATTATCCTACCACTTAACAGTACCATCATTGTATTGCCTTGCATTAGTGGAGTTAACTAGTGTAACTACAAGTCCCAACACGGCCCCAATGAATGACAATTGAGGACCTATATTGTGTTCACAATCCTGTGGTGGTGTATGATGTGCTAGGGGTTCCGACCTCACTCATTCAATACAGAGTGCGACAGTGAACCCTCTAACTGAGCCATCCACAGAGTCACTCCGCAGCTGAGATCCACACACACAAGCTTGCTGGACATTACAATTAGTGACATGCGGTACCTCTGGTTCCGGGTAAGGCAAGCCCCAGCCTCGTCCACAGCACGTCCCGCAGCCCCGCCGGCCGAAGCCCCTCCCCGGTCCCCAAGCTAGTGTGAAGGAGGTAGGGAGGAGCCTTCCTGTCCCTCACTTGCTCGTCACTGCTGAGGCATCAAGATCGATGGCCTCAGTACTTTTTTTTTCTTTTTTTGAATGGACCAATGGCCCTTTGCCATTGGTCCAAGCCATCCACAGAGCTCACACCTCAAACAAAGAGTAGAGGCTGTGACAGCTCTTGCCTCAATAGTTAGGTTACACAAGAAGTGGGAAAGCCCGCTGCTGTTTAAGCTAACTACCTGTCAAAAGCCAGATGCAGCACCACCTGTAATTAACAGGCAGCGCTCCATCAATGACAGGTTACACAGCAGGGAGGATTTCCCTGCTGTGTAACCTGTTAGAAGCCGCTCTAAATGGAGAAAAATCTGTCAGTTTCAGACTTGAAACTGACAGCTTTTTCCTCCATAATACCAGGTGAGGCTCTGCCTCCCCTGACCGCACATCCCTGCTGTATATACAGATACACATGACTATCAAAAGATCTTTTTCTTTCTAATATTTTAATTTTTCCCATGAATATGTACTCTGTTTATCATGTAGATCATCTACAAATGCATGGTTATGTCTATTTAGGAGAAAAATAAAAGCATGGTCAGTCAGCCCCAGCAGGGAAAACAACAACAGTTAGCTGAAATCCAACCCAACTAATCACTCATTTTCTGGAGAGTGCTAAGCACAGGGGTCTGCTGGTGTTAGCTGCCACCCATTAACATGAAGATCCTTTCCTGATCTAGCTGCATTGGCAACTATCAGTTAACTTCTGTGGGCACCTTAACAAGCCAGGGTTTCAATCTGACATCAACACTTTACACCTGACATGTCATTTTTAAATTCACTTTAATTTTGTAGCCGGACTGGAAAATTATTAGCTTTGGGTGAAGATTTACTGTAGGCTCCCAGTATCCAAATTCAGATTGGTCTATTTTTTTTCTCAACAGGTGATGAAGCCAGTGCATCAATCTACCACCAATCTGCCCAGTTAATATGGCAGCAACTTCTCGCTGCACCCAACACATGGGTAGAAGATTCTCTTGCACTATATTCCAATAAAGGGTCTTTTTGTTATTAAATTTAATCTCTGGATATTATGTTCCATACTCGTGTATCATCTTGCCATTTCTCAGCTTAAATCCCCTCATTAGATGAAGCTCAGCCAAGTGGATATTTGTATGAATAGAATAGAACATAGTCTTTGTTATTAAGTGATTGTGCTCTCTGTTGTATCTTATAAATTATTGCCAACTTTTTCCTTTTCCAAGCTATATGTTCACATGGAAAGACTTTATAGCTGAAGCCCCTCTATGCATGCACAAATCAGTAGGGTATGGTGAGATTGTCCTGAAGCCTCCTGGGATGTATGACATGATTCACTGGAGGCTGCAAGTGCCTAGGGCTATGTCATCCTCAAATAGGTGAGGAGAGAGGAAGTGCGAGCAAGTACCATGAGAAAAAGTATGTGATTATTTACCACGGTGGGTGGAGGAAGCAATTGGGAGGACATTATTTTATGTGTGAAGGTCTACTTTATTACAGTTGTTGCGTACTAATACATTTTAGCTAAATTTGATTTTGGACATTAAACAGATCCTATACTCAATATCAATTTAATACAACACATAAATGAATATCCTACTTTGCACATCGTAGTTTGTACATTTCCTTTTAATATTGTTTGGAAATGTGTGTACATTTATGGTGGCATTATGAAATTGTAGGTATTATTCCTTCATATGCAGTATTTGGTTTATATTATTTTATACTTAGTTTGTTGAACACAAAGGTTGTCTTTAACAGATCTAAAAAAGAAAATATTTTAGGGATGGTGGTGGTGATCTGAATGATTTGCTCTTACAGGAGGCAAGACATGTATAGTTTTTTTGGTCACAACACCTTATAGGCATGTTTGTCTGTCCAGTCATTTACATATAAGATGTTTGCCTACAGTTAAGGTATTCTGAGATTATTATGTACTGGATTTTTAAGTGCTGTCTATATGTCTATTTAAATTGGGCCTACAGAATAAAAATCCTTTGTCTAAACAGTCTTATGTTATTCTAGAAAGGTGTTGTTCTCTAAAGATCATGAAGGAAGCTCAAATGGTCATTATGAGCAATAGACATGTAAATTTAGTTTTGTTCTGAATGAATATTCGTCCAAATTTTGTGAAATTCAGACATTAGGATGCATTCAAATGAAATCGTCCGAATGCGAACAAATTCAAATGTTGCTTTAATGAAAATTTGGATTTGTCCGAATCTCTGGCCAATCTGATTTTTTTTCTTTTTTTTGCTCTTGGGGGTTGTATTACAGACCCGGTCAGGTGGCTTCCTGTTGTGGATCTTTCTGAAACGAAAATTCAGAGAGATACGAAATCGGAATAACGAACCACAAACTAAAGAAATAGAAATCCCAAACCATCTGAAGCGAAATGAAAGACATTTTTTCGGGGTTACATGTCTAATAAGCAACATGCATAGATATAACGGGTACGGCTGTATGTATAAGGTATATAACACTGGGGTTATATAAAACCATTGTTAGGTCAGCATGCACAGACACACACACCTTTGGTTTTACTTTATCTCTGCGGATAGAAACAGAAGTAATGAAATTCTTCCTTTACATTATTAGACATCAATGGGTAGGATCCCTGCATATGGGGCCAAATAAATCGTACTCATTTTCACAATAGTATAATGGCATTGGGCATTTTATTCTCATGTATTATCTAGTTACATCTATCCAGTGGTAACGGAATTATTTCTTAAGCTTTTGTGATGAAAAAAACCTCTATGCTGTTCAAGCTAGTACAATGCCCACTTAAAAAACAAACAAACCTGTGCTCTTCACAGTTACCCCTTGCCATGTGGCACACTGAAGGTGTTCTAACTTTTACATTTAGTTTAGTTTAAAGCGAAGTCCACTTTAAGACTATGTTTCATATTGCACTATAGAATTTGCTCTATTTGGGATGCTTTTATTTTTAGTGACGGACAACTGAATCTTAAAATAGGAGTTGGGTTTATATACAAATAGGAAATAAAGAAGGGATTTGGATAGGGAGACAGGAAAGGAAGTGGAAGAGGGGACTCGCACTCATTCTGCTAATCAGCTAATCCAATAATTCTGTCTTTCCACGCATGCCAGGGCCTTATGTGTCTCCTTGGAACACTACCATCAAATGGGTGCCAGCGAATCACATTCTTGCTTGCAGAGTCCAGACAAACTTGTTCAAGAGGTTATAAAACATTACCACTGTCCCAGCTTCTGATTTTTTTGTGCAGATCATTATACAGGATTAAAGTACAACCATAATGCCCCTGTTCCCCTGAAGCATGCTGCAATACTAAGCAGGTGTGGGCATCTGACTGTGGCATGGGCTACTGACCCTCAGGCATAGAACCATTTATCAATGTCAAAGCACAGAGAGCCCTGTTGTTGTTTTATGCTTTTCATATGCCTTATCACAAAGCCACATGAGATCTGTTCTTTCTGGAGGCAGCAGAGAGAAAGCCTTGTGCATCAGTCAGCTCACCTGCAGTATATAAAGGCCTGTGAACAGCTGGGACTAATAGTGAGGTCTGGCTACCAGGTAAAAGCTAGGAATGGAGACAAAACCCCCAGGATCCAGAAAAGAACATTATGGTTCCGAGAAAACAAAACCATAAGCACTGGAGCCACTCAGCATGTGAAGACGAGAAAGCTATTTGACACATACACACTGTCCACAATCCTGCCAGCCAGTATATATATATATATATATTATATACACACACATCTGTATTTATGTGTTTAACTACAATAGTATGATAAAACCTGTGATTTTGCATTCATAGCAAATTCAAATCACAGAATGCCATTGGATGAAATATTGTTCAAATCACAGAATGCCATTGGACGAAATATTGTAGCAGCTGAACGGGTAGGCAGGTCCAGTATGGTTGCCTACAGTTTGAAATTCCAGGGACACAGTGCTGTTGAAGCAGATTACCTGTGCTATTTATTACTCACAAATACTGGCTTAAAAACTAGCATGCAATATGATCTCATAGTGGCGTATTTACTACATTTGATAACACAATCCTGTTTTCTCTTTAAAAAAAAAAAGGATGGATGGGAGGAATGTGAAGCTGATTAATGTTCACAAACATCTAGATAACAGAAAAGTTTCAGAAACAAGCTCCATGCAATTGCTCATGCAAATCACAGACAGCTATAGCATCTATGGCTCGCTGATAGTTTCTTGGTCAGCCAGTTATACTGGATATATAAAATTATCCATAACACCTTCAAATCTCCCCTTGGGGACAGCAGAGCAATGATATCTCACATTCCTCAGTAACATCTACTCAGGTCCTCCTGTACTTTGTGCATTCTCTGCATTATAGTAGGCAGGGCAGGCCAGCTGAGTTATCTACATTAAAGAAATGCACATGTTGTAGCTGGACTTAGTCATGAAGTAAGACGCAGCCTAATGATGTAACTGGACAAAAGTGTGCAGGGAATGTATGTATGGGAGAGAAAATGTTTGACAAGCCCCTTAAGGAACAAATATACAGTAAACTGATGCAACACTATAGCACTGTGATGCTGGTAAGACCGATATGATTTTTGAAGCAGATAAAACTATCTAGGTATAGGTATTGTAATATACATTTGTGCAAGTTTTCAGATTATTCAGAAGTGAGAAAAGGACCTCATTAGACTGAACCAGGTGTCCAAGCTATGGGCATTCGAGTATTTACACATCTTTAACATGCAGTAAATGATCAAAATATCCTCAAAGTTCACAAGGAAGCAGTGAAGTCCAAAAAGTTGAGTCTCAGCTCTTTTCAAGCATTTGCTTTGTGCTTACATTAGAAATGACAAGGCTGACAGGCCTTACTGCTAGGAGGGGGCAGTAGAATTAGTTGAACTACTAAAGTGAAAGTGCTTCTGCTGCAAACTTTGAGGTTTAATTTTTCCACAGTGCCTTCAGCTACAGTGAATTGAGGGCTTGTTTTAAAACACATTTACTGCTTGTTAAGAATAGGCAAATACTTGAATGTCCATAGACTGGCCACAGCTGCATTTTAAAGGTATCCGTAGATATAAGATGATCCTGAGCTGATCCCCAGGTTATCCTTAGAATGTCCATGTCCTAAAACTTATATCTCAGTTCATGGAATATGCTGACAATTTGAATCACCTAACAGTTTCTTATGTTTCTTCAGGACTCTGAAGGTGAGAGTTCTGCTTTTGGATTCCTAGGTCTGCATACCTGCCGTGACGATCACGAGTGGGTCCCACTCTTCCAGCTGGATACTGAATTTATTTTTTAAGTAAAATGCAACAGTGAGTGGTAAATCTTTAACTCGGGTGGAAACTCCCCATAACTAAGTGGCAAAAGTGCCAGTAACTATGACTTGAAGACTTTGCCACTGGAGTATGCTAGAAAAATAAAACGCCATCAGATGATTCAACCAGCCAGCCAGTTATCTATAACTGAAATATTACTTTTGGGTTGACTGGCAATATCAGATTCTATGGGTGAACAGTAATTCCATCCAATACTTTTAGGAGAACTCATTGAACAATATTTGGTGGCCTGCTTCATACAGACACTTTACCAAATATACTGCTTTACTTGATATAGTCACATCTCAGGTCGGATGCACATTCAATTATATACAGTAATACCTTGGTTTACAAGTAACTTGGTTTGAGAGCGTTTTGCAAGACAAGCAAACATTTCTGAAAAATGTTGCCTTGTTATACAAGCAAATGTCTTGCAATAAGAGCAAAATTTTGTAGAAAAGCGCCACCCGAATAAGGCTGTAGCTGTGTGAGCGATGAGTCTGTTTAACGACAACACAATGTCACATTGGATAGATTCCTTGTTATGGTTTCACGAAATGAAAAAGATTCCATTGAGTCAAGAGATAGCAGTGATTCCGTTAGCGATAGTGAAAGTCGTCCTACACAATAATCCTTCTCTCTCTCGTCCCCCTCACACCAACCACAAAGGTATGGGTAATTGGTTTATTTGTCTTTATATTTTGTACAGTATTATATTACAGTACAGTATTGTAATCATTTGTATATGAATATTTTTGGGTTGTGGAACGAATCATCTGAATTTCCATTATTTCCTATGGGGAAGTTCGCTTTGATATACAAGCGCTTTGGATTACAAGCATGCTTCCGGAACGAATTATGCTTGTAAACCAAGGTATTACTGTAGTTGGTTTGGTTCAAACTTGAAAACGTCTAAAGTCATCACAGCACACTATCATTCCTTTATCCAATAAAGTGCTCATAACATAGGATGTTATCCATGTTAAGAATGTTGAAATGAAGTGCATAGGAAAAGTGTGTCCAATGTTTGCCTTGGTATTGTTCTGTAACCATAAGTAATCATTTAATTGCATGTCCAACCAAAACCATTTCTTTTAGTTTTTGGATGTACTGGTGAAGAATTAAGACCCTTTGTCTTAAGACAGGAAGTAAGGCTAAATTTCCAACAGCAACAGACAGAATAAATCATTTTTTTCTAGGTATATTAAGGGAAGGCTGGAACCCCTGTCAGCGTTTTAATTCTATGTAAAGTCAAATACTGTACATCCATCCTTAACGTGTTTCTATGTATAGAAGAATACATCCATCCGTAGCATGTGTCTCTGTTCTGGCATCATCTCCGATGACCCCAGGATGGTGAAACATGTTAGGGATACACTGATCTTTTGGTTATCGCCTCTCCATTGAGCTACATGGACTGCACAACCATTAGCTATCCCCACATATCTACCTGCTCAGAGCACAGACTGGATGCCTGCACCCACTTATCCATGACAAGGCTCACCTATGTTATCGTATCTATGGAGGAGCAGTGTTGTTACTCAGGGCTACTGTCCTGATTTAGACTACAAACACCTCACACTTTCCTCTTCTCCATAGAATGAGTAGGTTTTGTAGGTTTTTTGTAAGAGAGATAGCTGGGAACAATGTAACTGATAAAGAGTGCCGCATAGACAGAGAGCAACGGCAGTTATCAGCAGACAAGATTCCTAGCAGAATCAACAGGTATTTTTTTGCAGTTACCAAACATATAAAAAAATGATTACAATGATATATTTAGCAGACCAAAATGACCAAATAGGAGAAGTTTGTTAGTAGGTTTACAATAGAGCTGCAGCTAACGATTATTTTCAAAATCGATTAGTTAGCCGATTATTAAGTTCGATTAATCGGTTAATCGGATAAAAAATAAAATACATTTTAAAAAATGGCTCCAGTGATGGGACTTCTAGTTTGTATTGAGATTGCAGTCCATCACAGGAGCAAGCTTGGAGCAGTAGAAGTAAAAAAGAAAAAAAAGTGTGGTGTACAATATAGTGAAATGAAAAGTGTACAATTATACAGCAATTAATGCAGAATACCACCAGCTATAGAGGAATACAATAAATCCCAGCAATAGTACATTATAGCTGGCGGTATTCTGCATTGCAATGTATAATGTACTATTGCTGGGTGTTGTAGTCCTCTATAGCTGGTGGTATTCGGCATTGCACCACTGTATAATGTATTATTGCTGGGATTTGTTGTACTCCTCTATAGCTGGTGGTATTCCTTGATTTGTAGTCCTCTATACAGTGCAATGCAGAATACCACCGCCTATATAGGAGTACAACAAATCCCAGCAAAACATTATACATGCAGTGTACAATGTATTGCTGGGATTTGTATTCCTATATAGCTGATGGTACATTGCTCTGTATAATATACAGCACAATGTACCATCAGCTATAGAGGAATACATATCCCAGCAATACATTATAGAGCACCATGTGTGGGTGGGAGTGCAGGCTTACCTGAACAGTCTTCCAGCAACTTGTTTCTGAGATCGGGCCTGTCTATCGGCGGCTGTCATCCCCCCCACACCTGCTCCTCCTTACTTCTTCTCCCCGCGTCCCTGTGCCGATCGTGGATTTGGACGGGCGGTGAGCGTGAGGCGCGGAGGAGGTGCGGGAGCGTGGATGCGGGCAGGTCTGGCAGCGGCGAGCGTGAGGTGGGGGAGGAGGTGTGGCAAGCAGCGTGTGTTAAGCCGTGAACAGGGCCAACCAATCAGGAGCCGATTAATCGATTATTGAAAAAGTTGACAACTTTTTCAATAATCGATTATAATCGATTATGTCGATTAGTTGTTGCAGCCCTAGTTTACAAGCCTTTTAAACATGACTTTTTTCATATATATTTATACTACGTTTGTCATTTACAGACAGTCCCCAGGTTACGAACAAGATAGGGACTGTAGGTTTGTTCTTAAGTTGAATTTGCATGTAAGTTGGAACAGGTACAATTAAGTGTAACTCCATCCAAAATGTTTTTTTTTTCTTGTTTTAGATAGCATAGGGAAGGGTTAACCCCCTGTAACATTTGTTTTGCTGTTTGTGCCCCTGTACAGAAGATTTCACCTCACTTTCTGTCCCTGTGACAATTGGATTTTGTCAATTTTGGGTTGTAGTGGAAACAAGGATTGGTGATAAAGCTTCAATGGAGACACCTTTTTCCCATGATCACTCTTACAGGAGTGAATTTCCCTTCCTAGGGGGTGGATTTCCTTTCACTTCCTGTTGTCTCAAGGACAGGAAGTGAGATTAAATCTTTCCAATGAGGATACAGACAGCAGTAAAAGCCTTACAGTGACCCGGGAAGAAGAGGTGGGCACCTCTCATCTGCATGTCTAACAAGAGCCAACTTCCTGTACAGCACTACGAACCAGACCCAAAAAGACGGGCACTCCTCGCCAGCAGGAGCACGGTAGCATTACAACTACCCCTGCTGTACAGTAATAGCCTCCGTTTGTAAGTAGGAGTCGTATGTAAGTTGGATGTATGTAACCCGGAGACTGCCTGTGCATGGCAGATTATTGCTGCAATGCATTTGGAAAAGACTATACTCACAAATAAACCAGTGACAATCTGAATGTAGCACAATGTCTTAATAATAAATTCATTGACACAATGCTTTACTTTATTTTTTTTTAAATGTTTTAACACTCAAAAATTTGATCTGGCTTATATGTTAACCATCAAGGCTGAATACATATTTTTTGAAAGCAGTGAAAAATTACACAGAAAATATATGGCACAGTATTCACCCAAGAAATCTTTAATCAAAGGCATACACCAATGCGATTTACAGTGAAAAAAAAAATAAAAACAAAATGACCCATCTGCATCAGTGTATACAATCTGGCGCCAAACAGCTGACTTTCTCATGGAAAAAAATATATTTTGCTCCAAAGTAAAAGGACAAAAAGCCTTTTGGCACCACAATTTCAACTGTTAATTATTAAGCTTGATAAACATAATCTCTAATAAACTATTTACTTAAATAATTGTATGGTGCAAAAATGAGCTGCGCCTGCTCGGGGCAACCGTAAAGCATTTTGGCCCCATTATAGAAAACCTCTTTTCGCTACGATGCTTTCTGCATGTAGTGGTCTAAATTCCAGAAAGTGGAGAATAAACAATATTTTCAAGCCGTTTTTTTCTGCTTTTGTAGCCATTTAACGTCAACTATACATTATTATTAAAATAGCCTTCCAAAGATTCTCAAAGGAAATACAATGCGTTTCTGACACTGGACGTCCTTTACATAGCTTCAAACTCATCGATTCTCTGTTTTGTGTTGCCCTGTCGAATTTGCCGCAGAGTCTTGTACTTGTCGCGGCCCGCTCGCATGTTCTCTGTGTGCAACAGGTCGTTGTGAGTTTTCTTGGTGTCATCCCGTGCTTGAGACAATTCACTTGTCAGAGCCTGTAATGGACAAAGAAAAGACAAACTGATGTAGCTCACTTGAGTACTTACAATAGGGCCGAAATGCACTTTTGTGTTCCAGTGTGTAGCTATAACGTGTGTCACCACAACATTACATACCCTCAGTTCGTTGCAGTACTATTCATTTTGAATGGCACTCCAACACACTAAGGCAATGCAGCTCTGACGCACATGCGTTGCAGCACAGTAAAATGCATAGTAACACACTACTGTGCGTTGAAGAGTGCTGCGTCAGCAAAAAAGCTGCATGTCCATATTTTGTGCCTGTTCTTGTGTGTTTGCAGGCCCGTTACAATGAATGGCCTGTCTTAATGCAATGCACATTAAGGTTTGACACAACATGTGTTGACGTGTATATGTTAATGCAACACAACGGCAAAGTGTGAATGGGCTCTTACGTGATCTACAGACTTTTTTAAAAGTGGTGTAATAAGAAATGCATAATATGGATTTTATAAGTTATGGAGTGGGAAACAACAAAATAAGCATTCACTTTTGAA